TCGGCATAAAAATGATAATTCAATCCATGATTTTGTAAAATGCTTGCTAAGGGCTATGTATATAGTGTATATAGTGTATATAGTGTATATAGTGTATATAGTGTAAAGAGCACTGGTCCAAAAACGGATGACAAGGACATGTGGTTTGCGCTGCCAAGAGCGAAATGCTCGCAGCCAAAGGGATTTGAAAACAAACTCTCTCTCTCTCTCTCTTTCTCTCTCTCTCTCTCTCTCTCTCTCTCTCTCTCTCTCTCTCTCTCTCTCTGCTGCTGCTGTCTCTTTCTGTTTTTCTCTGGCTGTGTCTCTTTTTATCGTCAGCTTGTCACTCTCTATTCATTATCTTTCCCTCTCACTTTCTCTCTCTCTCTATCTATCTATGTATCTATCTATCTATGTATCTATCTATCTATCTATCTATCTATCTATCTATCTATCTATCTATCTATCTAAGTATCTATCTATCTATCTATATAATATCTATCTCTATCTATGTATCTATCTATGTATCTATCTATCTATCTATCTATCTATCTATCTATCTATCTATCTATCTATCTATCTATCTATCTATCGGTTCTCACACACACACAAGCGCTCTCTCAGTTTACATTGTAAGGAGGCCTTGAACCTATATGGGGGGGGGGGGGGAGCAAGTGAATACGAGATGCATACAGACTTCCTTGTACACGACACTCCACTCCACACTGACATATTATACACCAGCAAAAATGTCTTTAAGCTAATCTTTCAAGTAATTAGCCCCATACTTGAGACCTGCAAAGCTCCCTAAACTTCTTCTGCATTCCTGAAAAAACAAACTCCTCCTATAATTCTTACTTTAATTCTACTTAGAAAGCCATGTTTTTGACTCTCATGCGGCAAATTGGATTTTTATCTGATCGCCTTGAGAACATAGCAATGCTTGTGGTATTCGCAGTAGTAGTAGTAGTAGTAGTAGTAGTAGTAGTAGTAGTAGTAGTAGTAGTAGTAGTAGTAGTAGTAGTAGTAGTAGTAGTAGTAGTAGAAGAAGAAGAAGTAGTAGTAGTAGTAGTAGTAGTAGTAGTAGTAGTAGTAGTAGTAGTAGTAGTAGTAGTAGTAGTAGTAGTAGTAGTTGTATGTGTGTGTGTGTGTCTGTGTGTGTGTGTCTGTGTGTGTGTGTGTGTGTGTGTGTGTGTGTGTGTGTGTGTGTGTGTGTGTGTGTGTGTGTACAATTATTGTTATACTGAACTCCAATTAAAACCTAACGTTTTTAAAAGGCTATAAAAAGCTAAATATTCTGATTGCCACGACTTTTAGGACAAACAGTTGAGTAATCATCAGTTCACACACCCAGATACGATTTTTGTTATTTCCACGAGTACTTTTTAACAAAGTACAGTAAGCGTGCGTTGGTAAAATGATTCGACGAGACGAATATTACTCATGAAAAGAATGTAATTCACTTAGAAGATGACAAGTAGCTCTTTCCAAAAACAAGTTCTAACATTGTTACGATCAGTTTTGATAGTTCGGACCGCATGTTCTGCCCAAGCAAGACCACTTAATTGCAGTGTTTGTACTGTTTCTCGACTTATCCAAAGATTTTAACACACTTGAAATGTAAAAGACAGATAAAAAATAGAACAGATTCGAGTCAATACCGCTACCCAAAATAGACAGCTTGTGCTGTCGCAGCTACAGAATCGTTTCCTTCCAGCAAAAGTAACAGATCAAGGTATGCAAGGAGTGTACAAGAATGTTTCTTCCATCAGTATGAGTCCCATTCTTGTACATTAAGGACTTAGGTCAAGAATGCCTTATTTAGGACTGCTATTAACGAATCAGCAGCTACAGTGTCATCTTCGCTGGGCAAAACAGCATTGACAAATAATCAGGACCTCTCAGTCTTCCAACACGACAACTCCTACCCTTAGACTGCCCATGAAACGAAACACAGTTTCTGGAAGGTCATCATAACATGAATGTCATGGAAACTGCTCCCAGACAAAGTGTACACTGAATAACCATGCAGTGCACGAGGACATGCCAAGTATCTCGATTGGAGGCAAAGTGCTGAAGTACTTGAGCATCGCGTTTGATCGCACCCTCTCTGGCATGAGATCACGTCAAGAAAACAATCTCCAGGGCGAGAAAAGGCCTAACAGCCCTTAAGATGATGGCCAGAGCTAAGATGAGCCAGAAAATCCTTGTCATCCTCTACCAGACACTGGTACTCTCTGTCGTAGATTACGGGCTCGGACTCTATACCCTATCGAAAGCGCAACTGCAACGACTTGAGGTGTTACATGATGAAGAAATGACGCCAATCCTAGGGTGCACACGAGACAGCTCAGCTGAAGCAATGAGATACCTCCTTGACTTACCATGTGCAGATGAGAGGCACAAACTGGCACAAGTCTTTTTAAGAGTCAGCGCAGACGAGACGAACCCCCGACATAAGAAAGTGGGACGGCAGATGACATCAAGACTAAATAGGGGCATAAAATGGATGACTCCAGCAACGAACACCATCAACGAGTTCTGCCAGATACAAGACATTTGGAGAGACAAGGATTGGGTCAGAGTCGAAGATGCGCTCGGAGAGTACACAACGGTGAAGACAACATTGGGCAGAGAATGTCGCGACAGGCCACTTGGAGCTACACGCATTGAAATGGAGACCCTGATAGAAGAGCATACCGAACATGGAGATGCTGTGATCTTCACGGATGGATCCGTCAACAGAGGAGTCAAATCGAGCTGGGCCTTCAGTGTCAGAGTTGATCGGGTAGTTGTGAAAGAGCAAAGCAGGGCAACTGCACTGACAACATCCAGTATGTGCATGGAGATCAATGCCATAATTGAGGCTCTACACAGGATCAAGAACACACGCCATCAGCGAGATGTAATCATTAGAGTGGCCTGGATCTTTTGCCCGGGCCTCGCAGGGGTAACCGGCAATGAGAGAGCAGACAATCCGGCTGGAGAAGCAAAAGTGGGAAGGAATTTAACACTGGACCCACCCACCGCTGTAGAGGAAAATTTTAGGAAGAATAGGGAAAATAACTGTTCCCACACCCAAGGTAGATTGAAGGAGAAGGGAATCTCACAGCCACCTGTGCGGCCCAGTCCGACGGATCTCCAACCAGATTATGATTGAGACTGTAAACAGACAAACTTTGGGATGGATCCTGAAGAGGGGGGGGGT